TTTAAAGCAGTTACTGGTGTTTGGTGAGCTTCCTCTCTGATCAATTCTCACCTATGAGTAGAACTTCCCGTTCACTTTCATTCAAGTACAGTTCTGCTTTTCATTTGAAAACTTTACACATTTATTTCCTTAAGTTCTCTCCTTAAAACTCTCGTCTCTAGATTAATTCTCTCCACAGTAAAACTGCAGATAACATATCCTAGGAAAGGGTTAACACCTTATTCTCACCAGGGTGAAATTTATGAGTGTTGTTATTTCTATTACAGTGATACACACAACAGGTGATTCAGAAATGGGATGATATACATGCTTTATGTTACCATTCAAGTATTCTCAGATTCTCCCACACTAACCCAACAGAATGTTCCTTCTCTTCTGCTGGGTAGTCCTGTTCCTGAGTGCCAGTATTTTTCTATTGCACTTCATTAAGCCCCAGAGCCCAGCTTGGCCACTGCCTAAACATAGCAACAGTGACTGATATTTAGCAAAGAATGATTAGAGGCAATAGTTTAACTCATACACAGCAGAGAAGACCCAAACCAGAATGGACCAGAAGTTCATATTGTCTATCCTTTCCTGTTCAATTTTCAGTTCCAAGAAAGGATTAAAAGAAATAGCACTGACCATACTATCATTCATACCAAACCAGTACTTTTGTGTGAATGAATTTTAGCTAGCTTTTTGGTTTAAATTTAATGATAGATTAAAAAAAAAAAAAGAAATAATTTCATCACCTTGTAGAGATTTGTATCTCCCTTATGAATGGACATAATGTTGGCTACATCAGTCACAGATTCATATTCATGGTAGAAATTTCAGATTGCAAAATTCAGTTCCGGCCTCTGAGTGACCAGGTCAAATTTTTCATCCCTAGCAAACTGTAAACTTAAGTAGTAAAACAGACAAATTCCAGTCTGTGGTGTATTATCAGTTTCATGCACAGCACAATTTTCCCAAGCCCCCGGCCTGTCTCACAGCATCACTAAACCCTAAACTCTCAGAGAATATTCTGTTGCAAGAAGTTATTTAGGGTACATCTACCCAGGCAACTGCAGACAGACGTGGACATGCTCTGTTTTCAGCCTGAGCTGCCAAGACTGGTCCGGAAGCCATGGAGCCACAACAGCTCTTCACACACAGGCCTGGGAGCAAAGCCACGCTGATGCGGCTCTGTGGCTTCCGGCTCAGAGCTGGTGCAGGTCTGCTTGGCTCATGGGCCGAGTGAGCTCACATCTGCCTGCACCCAGCGTGTCTCCACATCTTACAAAGTCCATCCACACAGTTGTCAGCTCCTCAAGTATAGCTAACAGGTTCTGGTATGGAGCAGTAGAGCTGAACAAGAACAGAATTCCATAAATCAGTAAGAGCAATATTTTTCATTAGTGGGATGTTAAAATGCCAGTGGTTTCCCCTAATCAAATAACTGAAAAAAAAATCATGCATATATATATATCTACACATATATATATGGGTAAAAGGATACTATGATGGAGTAATTTCCTAACTAAATGACCCACTCAGGAATCTGAGCAGAAGGATAAGGGATTACCAGAACTGATGGCATTATGGACAGGAATCCCCTCAAAGACAGACAGTTCTATATTTAGCATATCATATTTAATTCAACCAACAAAACCCCAAAAGTATCAAACATTTATTACTACCCCTAAATGAACCTTTAAAATAAATGTAATTTTTATTAGCATACATCTGCTTGAATTAGGAACAGTACACTTAAAGGACAGAGGACTTTTTCTAAAAAAATCCAGGTCAAATTAGTTATTTAGGTGTGACTATAAAGGGAACAATCTTTCCTTAATCAATTCTGCACAAAAGAAAGGATCAAATCTCTGCTACACAATGTTTCTTAATTATAAAAAAAAATGGTTATTGTTAAATAAATTTAAAATCTAATAATTATTCTGAGATCAGCACAAGATGATTAAGTTCCTGTAAAGCCTGTGAAACTATACATCTGGATATAGGGAAAAAAATAATCTGTTCACTTCTAGTGTTATCTGGACATACTACCCACAGGCTGCAAGCCTTGGTCTTCCTAAGCCTGCCTTCTCCAGACCCTGGGCACAAGGGCAGAGATGCTCAGCAGAGAGTGGCACCACGTGAGTTATTGCACTGTGATGGTCAGAGTGCCAGACCTGCACACAGCCAGCCCCTGTGCCGGCCACTGCTGGCACTGGGAGTGTTTGCTTTAGCAAACTGAAGAGCTTTTTGTTAACTATATTGAGCAAGAGATTTTCTGGTAGGTAACACTCCTAGGAAAAGCCTCAAAGGCCTCCAGATGTGCTACTACTGCACTGGAACGGCTGCAAACACTCCACTAACAGCTCGTGGTTCCTGGCTCTTCCAGACAGAGCCATCTCCTGGCTGAAGTGAGGAAATTCATTATCTGGAGACAAGGCTGGTTAACAAACGAGCTCATCAGCAGATCATAGCTAAAGACCCATGCTTTTCTAGACATATCAGAGCACTCTGGGCAGGATGCGCTGAGATCCACCTCTGTCACTGCTGTGAATGTGTCTGTTTGAAAACCTGAGATATTTGCTGAAACCTTTTGGATATACAAGAGAAAACACACTATTTGCACTGCAGTAATCAGCAGAAGAGAATCGAGGCCTCTATCCCAAAAAGAATCAGAGAACTTCGGGTCTGCAGATGATCTTTCAGCTTTGTTCAGTCTAAGACAGCGTTATGTGTTCAACCATGAATTCATGCTTGGCTTCTACTCTCTCTCAGCTCTCTTGTTTTTCCCATTTCCAGTATTAAAAATAGAATCCTGTGTTTGTTTATACCTGTAAGAAACACTGTGCATCTGCTAACTGCAGGGTCTAAAATCCAATGCTGTAGCAAATATTCCTAGGGCAGATATAAACTCTGTCAAACTATTTATCTTTCTTTATGTTGTTTGTGCAGCTATTGCTATGCAGCTACCTGTTCTCACCACAGCAAATTCTGTACATCACGAGCTTACAGGGATGAGCAGGGCTAAAACTCTGAGCAAAGGATGGGAACAAGCAAAATACACTTCTTTTAGAGCATTGTATGATGCTATAAAGCTTGTTATGTAACCAGATAACTGAAATAATATCAACTGCCATCCTTAATGAAGGCCCACATCAAGCCAACCCCAAAAACTCACGTGGGGCTCAAACTGGCTGGCTAGTTTTACTGGCAGTTGCTTTTCAAGACTTATGTGTATCCAGAAAAACAAAAAGTAAAACCACAGGTGACAGGAAACATCAGAAGGAGCCACAAGAGCACTTCCAGGTGCTGTGACGTAAGTGCATAAGCTAAGGAACAACACAGTGAAGAAACAATCTCCTGATGTTTGACTGATTTCTTCTGCAGGAACGAACTTTTAAAATAAATACAGTTCAGAGATTCCTGAGTATCTCTCCTTTCTCAGAGAAACTGCATGCAAAGTTCCCATTTTAACTATCAGGTCACAAGGACAGCACAATTTTTCAGCCACTTCTATATGAACTGGATTTGAGCTAGTGACCAGTAAGTGCGAGATTTTCTAGTCTTGTCAATCTTCTGAACCACACACGTGGTTCAGGACTGCATAAAACAAACAAACAAAATGGATGTACAAGAATGTAACTACATCTGGACTGTTCTTTGTTTGCAGAACCGCCTGAAATTTCAGAAAGGGCTAGTTTGTTATAGAGGGAGTGAGACTCATGCTGTCCTACAAGAAAAGCTAATCCCTTTTAAGTTCTCTTCTTTAAGTGATTTCTCTCCCTTCCTTAAAAAACTGAATTCATCAATTCTGAGTACGGCTCAGAGATTCCCTGCTGACAGATCCATAGGTAACCTATAGCAACTGCAGCCTGTGTCAGACAGCTCTTTTGCACCGCGCTGCTTCTCCTCCCAGCACATCAAAACACACAAGCGAATCTAAAGAACAAAACATTTTAGGGAAGGCATGCAACTCTACTCTCTTCTATCCTTAGCACATCACTTCCTCATTGATGTTTTCCTAGGAAAACTCTCCTTCCATCTCTCCAAAAAAATCTTTTATCATGCATTGATGTTTTCTAGCAGTGTGGGACAGAACCAGTTATGAGTCTATGGTCATCTTGTCTGTGTTAGACATGCAAGGACACGAATTGGCTTCATTCTGTGAAAAACCATGAGAAGTGAGATGCAAAGGTGGCATTTAAGAATAAAATTAGTGCTGGATTTGTGTTTTAACTCTCAGTGATCTAAGTCTAGGAACACATCTTTCTCTTAAAATGAAAGATGAGTTTTTGACATATCTATTAGGTTCCAGAAGCTGAGGCTTCAAGGAAAGGCACCAAATATTACAAGATCTGTTAAGGTAAAGTTAGCTTTGCTACTCTTCATGTCTCCTCTCAGCACTGTGTACATGAGAGGGCTTTTGTCCATCTTACTGGTTTGGTTGTTACTGTAATCAGCTGGAAGACATAAATTTAAAGGGGAGAAAAGCTTTCCACAGGCAGCCAGTTGAGCATCCTGAGCATTGGGATCTAGATCATTACTCTGGCACCAGCAAGGTGGCACCATTCAAGCTTCCACCTTTAATGTATTAAGAAACCACTTTCACTTCTACCTGAAGCCAGGCATACATCAGTAACTCACTGGACATATGTTTTTTCTCCCAGTATTTCTCACTCTGCAGCAAATTTCTCAAAGCACTGCAAAAGATTATAAACTAAATATGCTTTTTCATCTTCTTTGTGTGGTGCAGTATTTCAATTGTTGAAATTTAAGGTAGACTTTTTGGTATGGTGGGGTAAATGTTTTCCAAACACTTAACTTCTATTTCTATAGTACCTGTATGAAGTATTAGAGAAATGTTCCTACTGATTAAAAAAGATGGTCATAGCTCTACTTTAAATCTTAATGTGCAGCAGTTCCTGGCTCTCCAACATTTATTCAGTTAAAAAACAGTGTTGATTGCATGCACTATTTAGGAAACTTCAGTGGCTATGGGAACAAGCATTGTCTTCACTTACCTTGAGACAACCAGGGGGAGAATCAACATTTTCAGCATCCTCATCAGTAACTCACCGGGAAACTGGAAATAACTGATTTCCTGGAAATACACAGAGAGATGCTCACTGTTTTGAGACAGCCTGCCCTTGTGAGTCCTGCTACAGCTGTTGGTCAAGGGGTATAAGCAGGTAAAATCTGCAGCTCTAGTAGGTAAGGTGGCAAAGACTGTACGCTTTAAAAGACTATTTTAAAATTAATTAAATTACATACTGTGTCTTAATTCAACAAAAACACACACAGCATTTTTCCTTTGTAAAGTAAGACAAAAATGAAATATGCTGCCTCCCTACTGTGAATAGGTTGCCCTGAATAATCCTTTTATTCTGCATTTTGTGTGTTTTGCTAGCTGTGTATGAAGCTACTGACTGGACACAAAAAGTGTTCAGACTGCAGTTAGGGCAGCAGAACAGAGAACTGTTTTAAGGTATTGTGTTTACTAAGTGCCATCATTTTTAATTGAGATTTCCACTGTGTACTCAAAGCATTCAGCAGTGCCTGTTGTCCTGTTTACTGACAGATGGATACAGCAGTAAGAAACAAGTAGCTGCAAAGAGCTTAGCTGAAGTACACTGGAGGAGAAATCCCCAAGGGAATTTAATATCATGGTTGGTTAAAAATGGGAGATCTCATATTTATTAATATAAAATACCATCAGTGTAGCACAAACATCTGTACCTCCGTACACCTGACGGTGAAAATTATTGCCAGCGTTTTCTTTAGATGTACACATTCCAAACTAACATAAAATCCAACAAACATACTGTTTTTAACGTGCATGTAGCTTATTATTATCACGCTGTTACAGTGGGGCTATACTGGATTTATTAGTGTCTTAAAGACCAGAACCTCTGCCATATACATAGTCTGAGAATTGTGAGAGCCCCAAGGAGCAGTATGTAGATTAACAAACAAATCAAATTACACTAATTGAACAAGCACACAGACATGTTTTTTATCTTGAAAAATCCATCCTGAAGTTCCACAAGTTGACGTGCCTTTTGTTATGTAAGTATTTTCCCTGCAGTGATGCACTCTGCGGTGCCACACGTACCTGCTGGGAGAGCCGCCTTGTCCTGAGGAAGAACCCAAGGAGACAGCCAATGGTGACCGACAACACCGAGAGGATGAGCAAACCGTTCCTTTTACAAACATCCTTGATCCGAGCGAGGATCGCATCCAAAGCCACCGCCATGGTGTCCTCCGTGCTCCTTGGAGAGGAATCAGCATCCCATGGAGAGAGAATCCACTCGCTCCTCTTGCTGGAGAGGAACAGACCTCGCTCTGTATAGATCAGATCAAAGCACTTCCAGTTCTGCTTAGCTGACCTGCAAGGTCACCCCTCTGCCAATCGCCACCAAGCAAGCAGCTGGCATTATTGTTCCAAATTAATACCGACAATCCTATTATCGACTACATCATTAAGAGCCTGCAAGAAGATTAGGGGGCTCTGGAAAATTAGAACGGAATGCAGTAGTATTTCTAAAACAAGACTGCTTCAAAACAAAGTGACATGCTCAGAGCATTCTCTGGTCTTCCCAGTTTGGGGTCTGTCCGTCCACCCTACAAAGGAGCAGTGAAGTCATGCTCACCAACACAGAGAAGGAACGTTACCGCGCTGTTTTTCTGTGCACGGCAGAGTGGGTGACATTTTAAACAGGACTATCACAACAGGGCAAGCCAGGTAAAACTAGACTTCATTAATTAAAGCAGGCTTGGATTTTTTTGTTTTCCTGACGAAAACAAGAATGAAGGTACAGCGTAAGAACCACGAATCGATCAGAAACCAGAAGTATGCTGAAACACGGACGGGAAAGCTGCTGGCATTTGGCATCTGTTATCCTGCAAGCAAAAAGATTTCACTTTTTGTTCCACCACTCTGTTGATTAGAGTAGGGCCAATTTACTTTCAGAGGATTATCAGAGTAAGCCATGGGGATTGCTTTCCTTTCCTTCACCGTGTCTGCACTCAGTACCAATGCTGTTTTTATGAGCAAAAATACAGAGCCATGACTGCTCACCGCACTGCACTCACTGAAATGCTATGCAGAGCCCAAGACACTGATTGTTCAGTATTTTTATGGAAAATACTCCACAGAACACATTTGAGTATTTGCAATGCTTTGTTTTACACTGCAAGGCAGTGTGTGTAGGTACGTGCTCACGTGTGAGCAATGGGGTGAGCCAACAGTGAGCTCAAGGGTCAGCAAAGCGTCCTCCTGGAAGCACGAATAGGACGCGGTATGGTCTGCAAGGCATATGGACACACACACACCAAACACAAAAAATATACGATTGTGCGTGGTGAATAGGAGTGCTGACAAAGCAACACAGTCATGTAAAATTTTATTAATGCTTATGCAAGAAAGTACTGAACTCATACTGCCGTCTGAGCGCGGACACAAGGCACACAGGTTTGCTGCCGTTCCGGAATGCACACAAACAGGGGAACTGCAACCCCGAGCAGCAACCCCGAGCGCGGCAGCCGGCACCCTTCGCCCTTTAGGCGGCCCTCCGAGCCCCTCACTGCCCGGCCGCGGCTACACTCCGCGGAGTCCCCTGCGCTGGGCGGGCGCTCCTCAGTCCCGGCCCGGGCGGCGGCAGCGGGAGGAGCGGGGCGGCGCCGCACGGCGAGTGATCGGGCAACATGGCGGCGAGGCAGCTGGCGGCTGGGCGGGACGCGTTGTGCCATTGGCGTCGGGCGTACAGCAGCGCGGGCGCTGCCGAGTTTCTGCACCGCAGCATCGTGCCCACCATGCACTACCAGAAGAGCCTGCCCAGGTACCGCGGGCCGCTGCCCCTGGTGGACCGGCGGCCCCGCGGGCGCCTAAGGGACGCAGGGCCTTGTAAGGAGCGTCCTCGGGCAGCGGGGGACGCGGGCTGAGGTCGGGAGCGGCCGGAGGGGCTGTGAGCAGAGGGCAGCCGTCTTTCCTCGTGGTGCTGCTCAGCTGCGGTCCCGCTGGGCTCGCTGGCTGTTTGTGGGTACTCATCTGTTTCGTGTTCGGGCAGAGAGGAAGCTTTTAGCGATACTGGTGGGAAACGTGCAAGAGAATGGTGATGCGGGAGCCCAGGGACGGCAGGTGGCTGCCAAGGTGCGTGGGCCTGTGTGGAGCCGGGGCCGGACCAGATGGGCCTTACGGGTCCCTTCCGACTCGGGATATCCTGTGATTCGGTGGTTCTGTGAAATTAAACCTCTCTGCTGTGTGGCTGCTGCTCCTTGCAGCTGTTTGTGTCGGTGTGTTGCCTGCAAGGTCTTAAGAGCCTTCACTGCAATAACAGCAGTCGCGTTTTGTTTCTCATGACGGCATTATGCTGTGATGACATATTTATCTATTCCCTTTCTCCTCCTTTCATTAAGAAACTTCTAAGTCATTGAGATAATAAGGGATATAAGGAAGGATAGAGAAGCGGGGAGAGAAATTGCGACCGCGCTATAAGAAGCTGAAACCTCATCAGTACCATTGCTCAAGTGTCTTTGTTCCCCTTCCTTCAGACTGCCTGTTCCCAAACTAGAAGATACAATTAGGAGATATCTGAACGCCCAGAAACCTCTTTTAAATGATGACCAGTTCAGGTACGGACAAATAAAATAGTCATAATGCAGAACCGTTTGTTGCTTTAAAGTTGAATGTTACATATCGAAAATATGAATTGTGAAAGCATTTCAAATCTTTTACTGATTGCTGTAGGAAAACTGAAGAACTTGCTCATCAGTTCGAAAAGGGAATTGGAAGAGAGCTGCATGAGCAACTAGTTGCTCAAGACAACCAGAACAAGCATACTAGTTACATCACAGGTATGTTGGCCAAGAGAGCTTCTGGAGAGCTGTGAAGGTGGTGAAGGGTGTAAAAGGCAAGCTGTATGAGGGGTCCCTTGGTTTGTTCAGAGCAGAGGGGGCTGAGAGGAGGCGTCATGGTGGCTGCAGCTATTCACAGGGAGAGGAGGGACAGCAATTGAGCGCTGCTGTCTGATGGCAGCGATGGGGGCTGAGGGAACAGCGGGGAGTTACCTCAGGTAAGGATCAGGTAGGGGTGAGGGAAAGGTTCTGCCCCGGAGGGTGGTGGGTACAGTCCTTAACTGCTGGTGCTTAGGGTGCATTGGGACACGCTCTCATAGGGTTTGGTTTTTGAGTGATTGTGTGTGCACCAGGGTTTGGACTTGGTGATCTTTGGTGAACCTTTCCAAGTCAGGTCATTCTGTGTTTCTGGGATTCTGATTGGATGCAGAAGGAGTCTTTAGGTCATCATACTTCATAATAGGCAGCTCATAATGCTACAAATAAAATGGGTTAAAACTTAAGCTCTCTGTTGCATAAGCTCGGAATAGCATGCTGTGAATATTGCCTGTAACAGTATTTGTGCAAATTCTGAGTATCTGGTAAAATGAAGAAGGCCCTTCATGTAACTTGAATGTACCAAAATTCTGCAGGATGGTGGAATGTTGCTAAACAAGAATTGCAGTCCTAAGGACATTTTTTTTCCCTTTTTGAATAGGAAATATTCAAGTAGTTGAGTGAGAATGCTCACTGCAGTTGAAAAGGGAGGGAAAGAAGTGGTGCTATTGGAGTGAAAAACAATGGGAGGAAGAGATCAACCACAGGCATAGTCTGTATTACAAGTTAATTACACGGGCAGCTCTATTAAGGGAATGAAAGTGATGATTTTCAAGTAATTCCAAGTTACTTAGCAAGAAAACAGAACTGTGAGGGAGGTTGGAAAGTGGTCGGTACTTTGGACTTGAAACAGTGCCCTCCAAAAAAAACCAAACTAACCAAACAAAAAAACCCAACCACTAGGAACACATGTTTTTATAAAGAGGAGAAGAAACTGAGAGATGCAGAAAGTGAAAGGTGAGAATAAAGGAGTACAAATTGAGAGGGAGGTATACATAGCTTTTAGGTTGTTCATCCTAATTGTTGTTACACTGACTTCCAATGCAGAAGCAAATGCATAAGCTTGTGAAAGTTTTGAATGGATGGGTAGCAACAAAGGTGGAAATACTCAAATACCTGTGGAATTGGGAGTTTGCATGTTGTCCTGTCTGTCTACCAAGATTACTCATTAGGGTGTTGGCTTTGCAAGTTGCACAGCAACCACAAATTATGTAGGGAATAACAGAGTATTACATACAAGCTGCTGTTCAGTTTATTAGCTCATGCTATCCATTCCCTTTGTAGAGCAGGTGGAGTTTTAACTGCTGCTGACTCTCGTGTTTGTCAAGACTAACCAACATGCTTCTGCTTTGTGTCAGTGAAATACAGAGCTTTTATCTTCCTTTTATTTAGTTATAATTCCTTTTTTAGGCCTCATAAGAGATACTTTCAAAACCAAGCAGAACATATGTATAGTTGCCCCCATTTTCATCTTTCAAGACCAAGGTTAAAAGGCGATGTGACAGTGAGGAATGTGGTTACTAATCAGTGAGGACCAGGAATTGTAATTGTGACTTAGATCCTTGAGTTAGCCCATTGCCCTTCTTACAGCCCATCAGCTGTCTTTGGTGGCCGCGTGCTTCCTTTGTCTGCTTCCTGACAGCGTGTAGTACCAAACCTTACTGAGTTCAAAGTTGTTAATAATAGAGCCTACTTAAAATAAACAAATGAACAAACAAAACCAACACCCTTCCTGCCTTAACTGCTGGATTTTGTTTCTCAGAGACATGTGTGTAGGCATGACCACGTCTTAGAGCTAGACCGTGGTTATGGCAAGGACAGAACGTTTCTTTCACATTTGTGCTTCTTGATATGTCAACAGGCCACACAATGAAGTGAGACTGTCTAAAAGACCTGGGGTAGCAAATGTAATTCTTCCTGAAGTCTGTTCTCAGCCTGGAAGAATTACCTTGAGGTTCTCTCTAACCTCATCATTTTGCCAGTTCTGTTCAGTGTTGATAGTGTCAGTGGATAGAAAGAGGAAAAAGTTACGATTTGTTAGAGACATACAGAAAACAAGGAAATTTTCCTTCATTGTAAACAACAACAATCTTTGTACAAACAGCTCCAAATTCAGTGTTTTTACTAGTAACCATGGTTGGACATTGGGAGAATCCTTGGACAAATTATTGCTTATGTTCTTCCTGTTCATATGTGCTGCAGTAAGTATTTATTTATGATCACTGGGGCAGGATATTGACTTTCTGAACATCTGTTTGATTCAGAATGCTGCTTTTATGTTCTGACCTGTTTCTCAACTCTCTG